AAAGGAATCATTACATTGTTAGAATTTTTTATTTCAATGAGCATTTTAATGTTCCAAAACAAAGGACTATGTTTACACCAACTTGGCTGGTTGCCTTCCCAGGAACTGTTTACACAAACACACCTCACTTGGCTACTTTCCCAGAAACTAGCCAAAACAATCCAGAAGTTCCCAACCAATGCACCAAAAACAACTGTGGTGGTTTGGACCTGGTCCCCAGCCAAGTGCCCAAGCCCACAGTGGCATCTTCGCCCCTCCCCCCCTCCCTTTATATGAACACAGGGAAGGCAAGGGAAGGACAAAAAACTATCAGAAAACTTAAATAACAAACCCAAAGCCTAGCTGTAGGGAGGTTGCTGCTTTCTCCAACCCAGCCAGAAGGGGTCTGACCTCTAACTTCCTCCCCCCTTCCATTTATATTTCTGCTTACATAAAGAATAGAATGGAATATTGGGATATGAGTACTTCCTTAGTTTTGACCTGGTTACCAGGAAGAGGCCTAACCAAACCAAACCACTACATGTTTGAACAGAAAATACATGTTGAAATGCTTTTAAAATGCCCTTAAAAAGTTACTAAAAGTGATATTGAAATGGACTGAAAGATTGTATTTTCAGTATAAGAAATAACTAACATGGGGTATTGCCTCATGTTCACTTCAGAAATGACTGCAGGAAATGCCTCCCTTTCTACCAACTCCTACAGCCCCATGGAGAGCTGGGAAGGACCATGTACACATACTTCAGTGCAAAGTCTTCTTTTAATCTGCCTGACAGGAAAAATATGATTTTGCCCTGTAGTGATGAGTTGTGTGTACTGACTCCATTTTTCAGCTCTGCAGAAAGGGCAGTAACCTTAAGGTGAAGGAAAAGACAGCAAACATCTGGCAGTTCTTACTTCTTGAACCACTGCAAATACATTTAGTAAAGGATGTCTGTCAGTACCCAAATGAATGAATAAATATTAATGTTGCCTATAAGATATGAATACAGAGAGCAGTAAATAATTTTGCAAGGTATAAAAGAGCTGTGTAATAGGAAATACTGGTTAGAATTTAATTGCTTTATATTTTAAGTATAATCTACATTATATTGCATTGTCTTTTTTTAAAGATAATACATGAAATTGAAGAAATGATAACTGGCAAAAAGAAACCAGTAAAATTACAATTACATCAGCAATAAAAGTAAAATATCAGATGTCTTGAATATGGAATACTCAAAAAGCAAAATAAGGAAAAGAAGCAAACAAAAAACCCCAAAGACATTGCAGAAAGTATATTTAATGAGAGAAAGAAAAAAAGTTTTAATTTAATATTTCATTGTCAAAAAAGAAAAAAATTGTAAAGAAGAATTAAAAAAAAAAGATTGAGGACTTAGGAAATAATTAGGAAATCAAATAATGAGCAAAGTGTCTTGAGAGATAAAAAGAACCGTTCTTTTTCAAATAAATTGATTGTAAGAGTTATTAAGTGAGCACCAGGTATATTGGAAAAACAAAATAGTTGACTGTATATGTGGGGAATCAGTAAGGTAAACTGCTTCATTTGAAACACGTGTGTGTGTCCACAGAGAAAGGGGACAAAAATGTTGACTTTAGCAACTAGATGAAATAGATGATAGTGGAATTGTGTGCAATATACTTGGAAAAGGTGGAGGTCAAGGATAATTCTAACATTTCTAAGTGGTTACATCTGGAAATACAACAGAGCAACTGATCATTGAAACAAGGACCATGGAAAATGGAAAATTACATTTCATGGGCAAATGATTTGCACAGGATTGACCTCACTGCTGAGACTTTCTAAACACAGACCCTTTAGACACAGCAAAGTTATCAGATTTTTTAGCTTTTTTATTCACTTTTTCTGAGACTCATTGTTAATTCTTACTTTGAATCTCTATCTTCTACATTTGCAAATGAGAACAGGAGACTGAAATGGTAGAGTGGCTCTCTCCCCTTCTCTTGTGCTTCAGTTACAGGACATACTTGCAAATGCAGATATACAAAACTCTGACAGTCTGCTCTGCCTACATCGTCTGTGGCACTAATTCAGGGATGGAAAATACCACACTCTGATCTTAAAATTTGCCAGAACACTACTTTGTTTCCTTTTTGAGTTCATAACTTCTAACCATCAGAAAATAGATTGGAGAAAGCATTATGTTGAGCATAATGTGTTCTGCATAATGTTCCTTTTGGATTTTACTGCTATTGATACAGAAGACTGCTTAAAAATGTGGTTTAGGACCAACAAAGGTGATGGGTGAGCCACAGTTACTATTTGTGAAATGATTGCTGCGCTTTCTTTGGAAGCAGGACAGTAATTATTGATGCATCTCTAAAGAATTCATCTTTGAGTAATGAGCAAGTAAAAAGCATTGGTTTGCTCATACCTTAACTGTAAAAAAAAAAAATATAATAAAAGTTTTCTTCCTGTGCTCTGCTGCTTGGGAAATTATTCTGACATGCCTGCCCAAACAAGGTAGGGGTATTTGGCTTATACCCTTCTGGTCATGAATATTGTTGATATCTAATAAATACATATCCATGCTATGCTGATGAATTCTGTGCCCTATATTTGAAGAATTCCAAGTCTAATCAAATTATTCTTTGCTAATTTTCACATGTAAAAAGTGATCAGCTGATTATTATTTTAATTCTCTTGAAATTTCTTTAATTAGATTGAAAAGTACATCTCTTGGTATCAGAGCTGAAAGTGTCACAGCACTGATCTGCAGATTTGGATGTACAAATAGAAGAAACAGTATTGCAGTTAGATATGATTCTGCAATAGCAAGAATTCTCAGCAGCAATTCTTGTATAAGGATGTATATATGTGTAAAGGGATAAATTGCACTCTTGTGCTTTGCTCTTGGCATTTATCAAATGTACAAACCAGATCTTACTCTCATTTCTGCATCTGTCCAAATCTAGGGAGATAATTGACTTCTGTGGAATTCTGGTCGTTCTAATTGGTGTAAAGTAGAATTAGACACACAATCAGGAGCATATTGCTTAAAGTAGTAATAGACTTTAAATAGATTGTTACAAACCTAAAAAGGTATTTTGGTCCTTGTAAAAGTTAAGAAGATATTAATTATTTTTACTTCATGCAGCCCAACCAAACCAGCTCACAATTTTTCTTTATAGTATAAGCACTAATGTAACTGCTTCCAGTTTCCATGCAGAGTTTTAAAAAGTGAGGATGGTGTCTAAACATGTTTCTTTATACCTTCTCTGGTAAAATAATTAAAATATGAAAGTGTTCTTTAATTATTTTCCTACATCCAATTAGTAGATTGAAAATGTAACTTAGATACTGAGACACTTAGTATATACTATATATATATATATATATAGTGCTTCTCCTGTTGAGCCCAAGCCATTCTGTGTTTAATGTATGAGAGTTTGACAATAAGCAAAAGGGAGCAAACCTTTGTCCTGCAGTGGTTGGAGTGGGATGCTATGACTAGGAAGATCTGGTTCTTCTCCTATTAACCTGTTTTAAAAATCACAAGTGGCCCAGAACAGACCCCAGGACAAGACAGGACAGAGGGATGAGTCTTTTGCAGCTTCTCTTCCCACAAACAGAAGAGACACTCTCTGGAATTTTGATGCAGAAAATTTGCTTTGCAAATGGCTTTGTTTAAGGAGCAAGACCACCTTAGTGTTTCACCTTTATCAACACAGTGTCCCTTCTGAGCATGGCATTAAGGAATCTTTATGGAGCATATTTTGCAGGGGGAACTTTCAAGAGCCTAAATTAGGTGCCAGTAATGAAATAAATAAGAACTCCTAGAATATTTTTTTCTGGTAGGTTAGCTATGATGGAGAACTTCAAAAGCACCCACAGCTGGAAGCTGATTTGACAGCAGTGAGAGAGATCTATGGACCTAATGCAGTATCCCTCAGGTATGTCATTGACCTTTCTGTATTGTGGAACCTTTAATGCTTTTGAGATGGACTTCCATGTGAACCTTACCTTGCTGCCAAAACACAAGTCTCTTCTGATGATTTCTGTATATTGTGGCGAAAGGAACACTGCTGGTTAGTAATAATGCTGGTTTTGATTTTTCTTTTTTGTGGTTGAATACTGATACAACTGACTAGCCTGTTCTAAAACATCACTGTCTTTTGCAGTTCAGTCAGTATTTGAACAGACTGTTGTATCTTGTTGAAAAATCCTACTCAGCATTACCCTAAATGCTTGTTAAACTTCTGTCATATCCTGCCTTTTACTCTGAAAGTGAAGAAGAGGAATCATGAGAGATTTAGGAAATGATTTCCCTAGGGAAAGATTGAAGGAATTGTATTTGTCTAGTCTGGAAAAAAGACAGAAGGAGGGGACATAAATAACAGTTCTTAAAAAAATAAAACTATTTGTATATAGGAAGAGTGATCAAATGTTCTCTATTATCATCATGAGAGAGACAATAAGAAACTAGCTTTGTTAGCAATAAACAAAAATTTGAATAAATTTTAGGAAAGCTTTCTAATTGTGAGAAACTAAACTATCCTACAAAGGGAAGTGGTGGAACCTCATTCAGGGGTGGATTGCAAAGAGTAATTACACAAAAATTCTGTTTAACATGTATGAATGGTGATGATTCTGATGTAGGGCATAGCTGTATGATATTTTTAATATGCTTTAGGTCTTTTATAACTTCATTTTTCCATCTATACAATCTTAATCATATCATAAAAATAACAGGTAGACAAGATGGAACAGACGTGTCAGGTGTATTACAAAGAAAATGTCAAAGTTGTCACACAAACCAAATAATAAAATACTAAGAAGATAATAACCTTAGACATACATAGATTCCAAGTAACAATTCCCATTAACCTCTAAACAATAAATTCTGTTATTTTAGTATAAGAAGAGAGAGCATGTCTACAACTATGGTGAACTATACCTTTTCAAATTAGGTGGAAATTAATTACATTTTGAGGACCTGGGTAATTAAAATCCAAATAGGTGCATACTGTTTTATGATATAAAATCATACAATAGTTTGAGTTGGAAGGGACCTTTAAAAGTCATCTAGTCCAACCCACCCTGAAACAGTGAGATAGCTCACAGCTCCATTCAACCTGACTTTGAATGTTTCCAGGGATGGGATGTAAATGCCCTGTCCTGCTTGGCAGGTTTAGGGGAAGGTAGTTGGATATAAACTGGGTGGTGCATGGGAGAAAGAACAAAATTCTCAGGAGGTTCAATAACAAACAACTTTTACTCACAAACTTTAAGCACTTGGCAAACTTAAGACCATCCAGACAGAATAAGGGCACTTAACAAGGCATTGACTGGATTTTTTGGTCTGGTTTACAATATATTTAGAGAAGAAGATAGGAGAAGAAAGAGAAAGAAAAAGGAGACAGAGGGTAGACAGTCACCACCCTAGGATCCAGTGTGGTCTCAGTAGCTTTTAAATCCAGGGTAGCAGAGTGGGCCTAGTGGCACACACCTTACCATCCATTTATCAGTTCCGGTCACCTCTAGCCCTCCCCTGGGTGGGCCTATACCAATTTCAGTGCCAAAGTTTCACACCTGCACTTTACACAGTGCCAGAACCTTCATGGCACTCGTGCCTGACCGACCCCATTCCAGTGTCAACCACATGTGACTTTTCAAATGCGCATGCACTGTGCAGTGGAGGCTCAAGAGAAGGGTGGGGGGAGCAGTGACCGTCCCACCTATGCAGAGCTCATCCTGTCCCCCCCCTACTTTCCCACCTGGTTGTTTTGAGCCAGTCAACTGTTCCTCCAGTCTCCTTCATGGGGCATCTGCCACCTCTCATGGGCAACCTGTTCCAGTGTTTTATCACCCTCACTGTAAAAAAATTCTTCCTTATATCTATCCTGAATCTACTCTCTTTTAGTTTAAAACCATCACCCCTTGTCCTATTGCAACAGTTCTTACTAAAAAGTCTGTCCTCACCTTTCATAGAAGCCCCCGATAAGTACTGAAAGGCCACAATAAGGTCTCCCCAAAGCCTTCTTTTCTGTAGGCTAAACAACTCCAAGTCTCTCAGCCTTTCCTCATAGCAGAGGTGCTCCACTCCTCTGATAATTTTTGTGACCCTCCTCTGGACTGTCTCCAACAGGTCCACATCCTTCCTCTGCTGAGGACTCCAGAGCTGGACGCAATAATCTAGGTGGGGACTCACAAGAGCGGAGTAGTGGAGTAGAATCTCCTCCCTCACCCTGTTGTCCATGCGGCTTTTGATGTAGCCCAGGATACGATTGGCTTTCTGGGCTGCCAGCGCACATTGCCAGTTCATGTCCAGTCTCTCATCCACCAGTATCCCCAACTCCTTGGCAGGGCTACTCTCGAGCTGTTCATCCCCCAGCCAGTACTGATACCAGGGGTTGCCCTGATCCAGGTGTAGCACATTGCATTTGGCTTTGTTGAACCTCATGAGATTCCCATGGGCCCACTTCTCGAGCTTATCCAGGTCTCTTGGATGTGATCCCATCCTTCAGGAGTACCAACTGCACCACTCAGCTTGGTGTCATCTGCAAACTTGCTGAGGGTGCACTCGGTCCCTTTGTCTATGTCATTAATGAAGATATTAAATAGCACTGGTGTGGAGCCCCTGGTGGTCTAGTGGTAAAGGCGCGGCGCTATCACCGCCGAGACCCGGGTTCGATTCCCGGTCAGGGCCACTCCCGGGCAGGTGGGGCTCGTTAGCCCTTAAAGGCAACCCACCTACGTCCTAAGGACCTCGCTGCCACTGTCCAAGCTCGCTTGGCCCCGGCAGATGAACCTTAGGATTAAAGGGTGGGCTCAGTTCCGCGCACACTGTGTCTCACCTAAAAAATCCAATGCGCAGGCTGGAAGGTGTAAAGACCTTCCCCGGATCTTCGCTCGCGAAGACTGGCCATTATTAAATAGCACTGGTCCCAATACAGACCCCTGAGGGACACTTGTCACTAATGTCCATCAGGACATTTAACCATTAACCACTACCCTCTGAATGTGAACATCCAACCAATTCCTCATCTACTGAACAGTCCACCCATCAAATCCTTCTCTCTATAATTTTGAGAGAAGGATGTTGTTGGGGACTGTTGTCATAACCCATCAGTTGGGGGCATGATGTTTGTTATAAATTCTCATCAGGCTGAGCAAAGACACCAGACACGTGTCAGGGAACTCTAATGTACAGTTGCCATAACTCTGCCAACCACCCACTGTTTAGACCCAAAAGGTGTTGGCTAACAAGCCCTTAAATTCTTACAATACACTCCCACAAAAAGTGTTGGATAACAAGCTCTTAATTTTGTACAGTACACTTCAATAACTTCTCAACTCCCACAACAAAGTCCTCAAAGGTGCTGGCTAATCTGCATTGGTCCTGCCATGTGGATTGTCTGGAGCTGGGGTAAACAATGAGAGTGAAAGAGAAAGAAGGGAAAAAGAGAGAGGGGACCCAATCCGCTTCCTTTTATAGTTGGTGCACACCACCGATGTAAACTAGATTTTTCATGCTGTTTTGTTCACACATGCACAGACAGTCCTTTCAGCCCTCCTCCAGGAAGTGAGTTGAGGGGAGGGGGGACTGAGCATGAGTCTCAAGGTAGAGCACATCTTTCCTTTTGTAAGTCATAATGTTTGAGACAAAACATACTTATGTCTGGTCCTCCACAACCATGTCAAAGGTCTTACAGAAGTGCAGATTTATGATGCCTGTAGCTCTTCCCTTGTCCACTGATGTAGTCACTCCGTTGTAGAAGGCCACTAGGTTGGTCAGGCAGGACTTGCCCTTGGTGAAGTTGTACTGGCTGCCTCAAGTCACCTCCCAGTCCTCCATGCGCCTTAGAAGAACTCCTAGGAGGATCTGTTCCATGGCCTTCCCAGGCACAGAGATGAGGTTGAGAGGCCGGTAGTTCCCAGGGTCCTCCTTTCTACTCTTTTTGAAGATGGGTACAATGTCAGTCATGGAATCATAGAATGGTTTGGGTTGGAAGGGACCTTAAAGATCATAGAACCATAGAATATCTCTAGTTGGAAGGGGCCCACAAGGATCATCTAAGTCAAACTCCTGGCCCTGCACAGGACAGCCCCAAGAATCACACCATGTGCCTGAGAACGTTGTCCAAGCACTTCTTGAGTTCTGTCAGGCTGGGGAGCATGTTCCAGTGCCTGACCATCCTCTCGGTGAAGAACCTTTTTATAATATCCAGCCTAAACTGTAGCACAGTTATTAATATAATAAATAATAAGTCCCATAGGGACCATAGTGACACCAACATGGTGTGTAACATGAGATCCGTTTATTCAAGGAGTCCCAGCTTATATAGCAGTTTCAAATGCTGCCACGTCACACAGGTAACTTCTTAAGCCAATCCCATACAAGCATTCAACAGAGCATGTGTGACAGAGTACTTAGAACTACAACTCCTAGGATGCTTTGTAGCACCTGGTGTAACCAGACCCATAATTCCCCCATTTTTATTAATAACAAGATACAAAACAGTGTAAATTCAAAAAACAGTGCAATTCTTAACAAAACGTTTTTTCACTTGACATAGTAAACTTATTTTTTGATTAAACCTTATTTACTTAAGGGTTTTTTGCAATTGGGTAGAACAAAAACCTTTATTAATCTGAGGGTTTACATATAACTGGGGAAAACTTACTTTATTAAAACACAAGGAAAAGTTGAAAGGAGGAACTTCATGTTTTGTCTTTTATTAAGGCAATGTATTAGAGGTAGTGTTTGTATAAGGTGTAAATGGTTCACATACATTCATACATTCACACAGTTTCTCTTTCACTCATTCGGGTGGCCACCCCAATCATTTTTCATTCATGTATACATGTAATCTTTGTTTTCATATTCTAGCTATACGACTTAAACTTTTATGTAGTGTTTGGTCAGAATGAAAATTGTTTGACTCAGGAT